CAACCTCTGCTTCCTGGGTTCAAGCAATTCTCTTGCCTCAGCCTCCAGAGTAGCTGGGATTACAGGCATGTGCTATGACGCTCAGCTATTTTTGTATTTTTGCTAGAGACAGGATTTTCTCCATGTTGGTCAGGCTGGTCTCAAACTCCCAACTCCCAACCTCAGGTGATCCACCTGCCTCAGCCTCACAAAGTGGTGGGTTTACTGGTGTGAGCCACTGTGCCCAGCCCAGGGGGTTTTCTTTAATACTTCTCAATGACTTCCAGAGAAATCCCATAAAATTGGGCCTCTTCTTTACAAATTTTATTTTTGAATACTATTTTATTCTGATGTCTTATGTCTTGTTTTTATAATCCTTATCTCTGATGTTTCATATTTAAAATTTTTCTTTAAAAAACACTATACATGTTTAAAATTCGTCTTTAATTAAAAAAAATATACAGAAGGTTAGGCACGGCGGTTCACATTGCAATCTCAACACTTCAGGAGGCCAAGTTGGGAGGACTGCTTGAGGCCATGAGAGGACCACTTGAGCCCAGAAGTTTCAGGTTGCAATAAGCCATGATCGCCTACTCACTTCGGCCTGGGTAACAGTGTGAGGCCTTGCCTCAAACCAAACCAAATCAAACAATATACAATATAAAATTTACAAACAATTGTAAATTTTTACAATTCTTTTTTTTTGAGGCAGAGTCTTGCTCTGCTGCTCAGGCTGGAGTGCAGTGGTGTGATTTTCGCTTACCGCAACCTCCATGTCCCAGGTTCAAGCAATTCTGCCTCAGCCTCCCAAGTAGCTGGGATTACAAGCATGTGCCACCACACCCAGCTAATTTTTGAATTTTTAGTGGAGATGGGGTTTCATCACGTTGGTCAGGCTGGTCTCTAAGTCCTGACCTCAGGTGATCCACCTGACTCAGCCTACCAAAGTGCTGGTATTACAGGTGTGAGCCACTGTGCCCGGCATAAACTGGATTTTTAAATGATAAAATGGTGTTTCTCATTTTCTGGATGAAGTATAAACACTGAAGGGATCAATTATTTATGTAGTATTAGACTAAGTCACAAATGCAAGAAGTTTGTCACATTAATATATAATTCCTAAAGCCCTCTTCATGGCATATGCTCTACTTTCTTTTAAAAGATTAATGGAGAATGACAAATGTGTTTTATACTAAGATTTATAAGAGATCTTTCAGATCTTTGAATCAAAGTCAAAAATCTAAAAATTGTGTTTTAATGACCTTAAGCGAAGTATACAAGTTATTTGTATCAACAAAGGTCTAACTAAATACAAAGATATTGCTGACACATACTAAGGAAGCATTATTTACATTTATGTCTCGCTTAATTAAAATGCCGCACTCTGGGATGAACACTAGCTTTAAGATGAAACTGACACACAAGGGCCAAATCATAAAATTGTGTCATGAATTTTTTTTGTTACAGACCTCCTGGAGAAATTAGTAAAAGTGAAGAAGCCTCTTCCTAGAAACCTCCACATGTGCACACACAATTTTAATACAATCTTGAAGGACTAGGTCATCCTGAGATCTATCGTCTTCAGGGAATAATTGGTGCCACTGAACATTATCTGGGAAAATCACTTTAAAATATAATGCCTTTGGTATTCATACACCTTCCAAGAGATTAAGAAGGATATCGAACAGTGGCGTTTGAAAACGTAGGTGAATGCTCTGGTGCCCTCTGTTCATAACTGCTTCAAGGCCACAGTAGGCTGAGTCTGCTAACTGTCCATCACTGCTCTGCAAACCTGAGACACCAGGCTCTGTACCATCCCATCCTTACCACCATCTCCACCTTTTATCTAGACTCTGCATGCTGCTTTGATCCTCTTTAGCCACTGTTTAGGCAAGCAGTCATCCAGTTTGCCCTTTAATACCTTCAGTGACATAAGTCAGGGCTTCAGAAGGCAGGCCATTCCAGTTTTTGGCAAACTCTGAAAAATTACAAAGTTCTTTTCTAATTTGACTAGTCTGGTTTGTGGATGTTTTAAATGGTGCCCTACTGAATCTCTCCTCCATTTACTCGCCAACAGGCAACAAAATCTAATTGTAAAAACCAGGAACATCACTTAGCTCTACCTTTACCAAACAGGAAGGTTGGAGGCACTTTCTATTTGGAATTCAAAATACAACAGCAATCAGTATTAGTTCAGTTCAAAAAAGAGTAAGGTTTCCATATGCATAGCATTTCCTACCTTGTTAGGCTTCTTTTCTCTGCACAAAAAATTAAAAGTGCATCAGCATTAAAAGACTAAGATTATAGTCACTTAAATTAACATTTGTTTGCATAGTTTATTCTCTATATTTCTATTTATTACTGTGATTCTATAATAAACAGTCCTAAGCAATACAAAATAAATATAGAAATCATTATTTATTCATTAGCTACAGCCTGGCTTTCGAGAACTACAAGTTGTCTCAGCCACCTTCAAACAGCTCCTTTTTTTTTTTTTTCAATATAAAAAGTATCTCCTATTGAAGCCAATGTATTAATAAGGTCTATTTACCATAAAATAAAAAATATCTGATATAAATGCTTGTTTTCTTTGAAAACAAAATATATCCAAATATTTGCTATTTTCATTCTTAATCCCATACCAATGCTGGATTAAAAAAGCTCATAAATATTTTGCAAACAGTAACTGATTTATTCAAATCTGATAAAAATACTGTTAACTGTCAGTTAAATGGCTAATCAAGACAACAAAATCTAATTTTCACTGGGTTAACTAGGAGGATATTCTTTCCTGAGCTGCATCTCAGGAAGCCAAACAATGCAGAGTCTGAAGAAGAGGCTACTTTGTAAGGAGCTTCTGTTTGGTCCTTTAATAATAAAACTTGCAACAGGGGTACAAAGCGGGTCCACCCAAATGAATTCTGCCTTATTTTGCGAACTGCATCATAATGCTATTTCAGTACCTTTACATACAATAATCCTCTGGTAAGAAATAGATTTCCCGACAAATAAGCACCTCCCTATATTCCCAGTGTAGCTTGAAAATGAATGCTGTGTTTAAAAAGAAAAAAAGACGGGAAAAAAAACCCCAGAAAGTCCCCAACCCCCCTTCACCAAAACAAAAAACAACTCCAGCCTAAAAAGACAATGCCACACTTATCACCTTATCACAACTGCATTATGTACAAAAGGCACTTTAAAGCTCAGGAAGACAGTTCTCTGAGCATTTCTCTTAGGATAAAATCAACTATGTGGCCGACTCTTCCAGATGAAAATGGTTTCATTCATCGCAAACAAAATGTGTAGTGCACACTTTTCATACACTTCATACAGTAAGATACCTTATTACTTCAAACGCGGTCAGTATCAACCCAGTATATATTTATACTCAAGCAAATACTGTCAACTTCAAATTGGCTTAACAAAGTCTGCTTTTTAACATAAAGTTCTTTCACTGGCTTGTTATTACTATAAAACCGAATGCTCAAGAAATGGCTTACCTCGAGCATGGACTATGGATACCAAGTTTGTCAAGCACTGCCCCACCCCTTATAAGAGTGGATGACTGGAACATTTTAATGCACTCCACCACGTAGAACAGCCACAGAAACTTCACACTGGCGCCAGTAGTTGCACATTTTCCAGCACAGATTTTTCTTAAATGTATTTTGTACCATCCTCTAAACCAAACGTCACTAACATTCAGGTATGCTGAAGAAATAGCTAACCACGGACCCTGTAGTATTACCCTCTCAACATACTTTTCTCATTATTCCACTGTTCTGTCGGTAAATGTTAAGAATTAATGAGTTCCCCGGCACACATACCCCGGAGCCCGTAACTACGCAATTAAGTTTATAATTGGGAGGCTCGAATCATTACATACGAAAATTCGGAGAGTAACAAAACAAAGTGAGATGCAAAGGAGAACAGGTCTATCTGCTTAAATACTCAAAGATTTTACATTTCTAAAAAGCATTTGCGGGATGCCGAGATTTCTCAAATGTGCCCCTCCCCCGCCTTTAGCCGCTTTCCTCCCCCCCACCAATTCTGGGAAGTGGTTACTTGGACGCAGCTGGGATGCTACTCACCGAGTTTCTCCACCAGCTTAAGCATCACGCCTCCGATGTGCACCTCGCCGGTCACTCTCAGGGTGACATCGCGGTTCAGGTCCGTCACATGGACACTCAGTTCCCACGTCCCGTCCGCGTAGCAGCCATCTGGCATCCTTATCCCGTCCAGAGCCATGGCTCCTTCCTGCGAGCGCGGAGGAAATGGCTCTCGTAAGCGTCACTCCCCCAAAGGAAGGCGAATCCCACCGAATTCGCAGCGTCGGCCGCGGGCTGGGAGGTGGCGGAGGACCCGGGGCTTTCCGCGCAAACTCGGGAGGGCGGCGGCCCGGGCTGCAGGAGGACCCAGCGCCCCGCTCGCCCCGCTCGCCTCGCAGCGCGCCTCGGCCCCGGCGCCGCCCGCCCCACACCGTCCCCGACTAGCGGACCGCGGCGGGCTTCACCTGCCAACCGGCCCCGAGACCCGGCGTGTGCGGGCTCCCCGCTCCCCTCCCCGCCGCGCCCCCTCGAGTCCCTGCGGGGTCCCGCTCCCTCACCGAGCGCTCCTCGCGCTCCGGATCTGGGGCTCGCGCGGCAACAGGCGCAGGGCTGGCGGCTTGGGGGCGGCGGCGGCGGCGGCGTCCGCGTCCGGCTCCTCCGCGGGCCAAGCGCTGCCTGCGGCCGCAGCGGCTAATGGAGTCCAGTCCTCGCCGCCCCTCGCCTGGCTCCCCGCGCTCCACCCTCTCCCCGCCCCCTCGGTCCGAGCCCGGCTGGGCTGGGCGCGCTGGCTCCCTCCTTCGCCGCCCGCACCGCCGCCCCGAGCGGGTCTGGCCGGCCTCGCCCCTGCCCCCGCCCTCCCGGCGCCACGCTCGGGGGAGGGGGCTGCAGGTCCCGGGAGGGGTGGGGAGGCGCGGGGGCGGCGGGGGGCGCGGCGGGGCGGCAATCTCGGCCCCGCGGAGCGCTGCCCTTTTATGGAAATGAAGGACCCGGTGCCGGGATTGAATCCAACATCCGGGCTCTCGGCTGCGGGCTCTGAGGAGGGGGAGCGGGGGAACGCGGGCGACATTTCCCGGGGGCGCGGGTGCGCAGCTGGGCGTCGGGAGCTCGGGCTGGACTGGGCTCCCGCGGCGGGTGTCCGCGCTGGCAGCCGGGGGAGGGGGCTTGTCCGTGAGAAACAGCCCCAGGAAATTCCCAGGGCAAGGTCGTTTTCGGGGAACAAAGTCCTCCCGCCCCCTCCCCACGCCTGGAGCCGGACCAAAAGTCTTGGAGCGGTGAGAGGTGCCGCACTCCGGGAGCTGGAGAGAGGAGTTTGAGATGGAGAAACTTTAAGAAGTAAATGCCCAAACCAGCTCCTTGAACGTCCCACAAAAGAATGAGAAAACCCAGAGGGAGGTGAACCACTAAAATTGCTTTGCAAGCAATGTCCGGCACCATCAGCAACTCCTACTGGACTCCCAGGAGTTTGCAATCGTTCTTAACCCCTTTGGAAGCTCCCTCCAGATGCAAGTCCAACAGATGATGCTCTTGCTATAGGGGAAAGACACAACTTAGTTTCGCGAGTTTTACTCAGAAACCGTTTCCCCAGCTTCTCGAGCTCTTTGTACGTATTTGTATATTTGTATACGCAATTTAGAACTAACCGTCTATTCAAGTTGTTAGATGGAGAGCCATGCTCCACCCCACCCTCAGCCACACCCTGGATTTTAATACTTCTGGAACTGTGCCTGCAGGTACCGGGAAGAGCTAAACAACTTCACCTGCTGAAGACTGACTAGTGATGGAGAACGGTCCTCCTGCTTCCCGCTTTTGTTTCCACTTCCCCTATTAATGTCGAGTGCACTCCGTTCAGAAACAGCAAACCAGAGAAACTGCCTCGCTAGCAAATTAATGGGCTCAAAAAGTAAACGTCAAGAAGGCGTAGATTAAAATACCTTTTCCTGATAAAAGACTAAGTCCGCGGTCTCATCGTCCTGTCAAACTGTCTCAAACGCTTGGAAAGGGAACCCACAAGGCAGATAACCTTTTGTTCATTAATATAACTGGGAAACAAGATAGGAGGCCTCAAGAAAGGGGTGGAACTCAGAAAGGAGTGAAAGCAGCAAAATTTAGTCAGATGCCAAAGGCTTGGCAGAAAAAAAAAAAATTGGGAAAACCACTACAATGTTTTTAACTAGTCATCATGGAGAAATTGATGCCTTGAGTCTCGTCTCTCTACTCTCCAATTATTTTTACTCACGGATGTTCCAGATAGTTCACTTGAAAGCAATATGAATGTCCGGAGAGGAGGGAGTTTATGTAATATGGTGTTGAAAATATATAGGAAAATGTTTTTAATAAAATAAGGAATTGCTTGTTAGGGCACAAAACTGCGGAACTAGATCTGCAGCTGTAAAATTACGAGCTTCTTTATTTTTAAATGTTCAGAGAAAAAGACTAGAGGGAAATACAACAAAATGTTAAGAAGCTGCCTGGGTCTTGAAATCACGGGAGGTTTTTTTTTTTCCCCTTCTATTCTTTATTTTCTACGAACTCGAGAACTTTACACCATCACCTAGAATTGCATCCAGCATTTCAGTTTCTCTGTACATGCCAATACATTCACGATGATAGACACTGGAAAGCGCAGATACTGACTGAACTACGGGCAAGATTTTCAGAAGTTTCTTTGGTATTTTTAAAAAATATGTCTAAATAAATCTTGAGTTTTTTAAGAGCAGGGACTTCAAATTCTTTTCATTGTCCACAAATTCACAATAGCTTGAGACAGAGAAAATGGAAAACATGCTGGTGTCAGACCAACAAAATGTCAAAGAAACAGCGAGCCTGTTCAATGGAGAAATCTCAGGGGCCAGGTACAGTGGCTCATGCCTATAATCCCAGCACTCTGGGAGGCTCAGGCAGGAGGATTGCTTGAGCCCAGGAGGTGGAGGCTGCAGTGAGCTGTGTTTACACCACTGCACTCCAGCCTGGACGACAAAGTGAAACTCTATCTCAGAAAAAACAAAAAAAAACAAATCTCAATGGGAAAATCCCCACTTTAAAAATGTACTTACTTATTTCCCCTACCTTATCCCCCAAAAGATTTATGACAATGTATATAGATGCATAAACTGTAAGATAGCATACATTATAAGTGACACAAAACAAGAAAAAAAAAGGTGGGTGGTGGTTGGGAGGCTTTGAGGGGTCGGTAGAGATGATTTTTGAGTAGAGATTTAAAATGGAACTGGGACTCAAACTAAGAATTGTATCTTATGATCTTTGTACATGCTCCAGTAAGCTACAAAAAATTATGGCTTCCTAACCATGGCTTTCTAGAACCTAAAATATCTATGCCCTTTCTGAATATTCCCTTTCCTTCAGACAAAATTGTTAAAGCCGACTGTCATGGCTCAGAAACTCTTTTAATACAGATGGTCCCTGACTTAATGATTTTTTTTTAGTTTACGATGGTGTGAAAGCTATATGCATTCAGTAGACACCATACTTTGAATACCCCAGGACTATTCTGTTTTTCACTTTCAGTACAGTATTCAATAAATTACATGAGACAGTCAACAGTTTACTATAACATGGGCTTCATATTGGATCATTTTGCCCAACCGGAGGCTAATGTAAATGTTCTGAGTACATTTAAGATAGGCTAGGCGAAGCTGTGATGTTTGGTATGTTAGGTATATGCAATGCATTTTTGACTTACAATATTTTCAGTTTACAGAAGGTAACCACATCGTAAGTTGTGGAGCATCTGTGCTTGGTTTCCACATTCTAGTTATTTTCCCACTTTACAGTAACAGTTACTTTCTAAACAGTCCCGCCACAACACCGACTACTCTAACTACCATGCTTTCCTGAATCCACTTCTCTGACTGTTCTTTACATTGAGTGACAGAGAGTGGGGGCGGGGAATTTTAATATTGTAAATGACTGCCCCATTTCTTAACATTTGAAATCGCTTAAGTATGGCTTTATAAGACACTTCACTATTTTTAGAAAGTTAGCAGTATATGTTTGAGCAATTAATGCACAGGAAGGAAGGACCCTGAGTTAAATAGGAAGGCAAGGACCCTGAGTTAAATACCAGTGGAAGAATAATTAGATGAGGATGGGTGCAGCTGGTCCCTTCAGGCCTTCTTTTGAGTATTTCAAGCTGTTGCTTGCTTTGAAAATTAAAGAGGAGTCAGCCTCACCTCTCTGAAACTGGGATTTTTTTTTTCCAGTTTATCAAGAGAGGCTTTTAAGTGCATTTCTTAAATATTTACTTCTACCTAAGATTTAGAATGTATTCAAATGTAGAATCTTATCTGAAATCCCCTGCTAGAACCACTAGGACAATGCAATGCTTGTGGTACTTACATCATACTAAAAAGTAGCCGGGTACGCCAGTGTTTGGAAGAACAGCCCAAGCATTGAAAGCAGTAATATCCAAATAAGGTACCAAGCACTGGACTTAGATTTAGAGCAAGCGATGCCTCACAGATCTGCTGTCAAATGCAGCCCTCGGGCTTGGTAATGCTCAGGTTGACTTTAGCTTTTTCTCTCTGCCTTCTTACAATGTGTTTCATATTTCTAAAAGGTCAATTCAAAATATAACCACTGAGTTTGAAGGAGAGAGGATGGGGATAGGAGAAAATAAGAGAGGCTTTATATGAGTGTGAATGTGTAAGGTGGGGCTTGAAAATGTGACATGAGGCCAGCAAGATGAAATGTAATGAATTATTGTCAAATCCAGGTGGGTAGAATTCTCTCTTTGTCTTGGAGATTGCCAAAAATGGCACACACCAATAAAGCTACTGAAGAGGTAGAAATCCAGGGGCATAGAGTGTGATCTAAAAGGGAAGGGAGGTTGCAAAAGCCACTTCTTTGATAGAAATGGGCAGTTACCGTAATTAGCAAGAAAAGGACTGGCAAACAGAAACAAGGAAAATTTGCTAGGAATATAGCTGTTTTTACAGACCAAAGGAGAGCTCTGACGTAACAATGAAATCTTTAAAGGGAAAGAAATGCTTACATTTACTACTCTGGTTACAGTAAGTTATATGTAGAAAACCATGCTTGGGGATAATTTTATTCCTCCCCCCCCCCCCCCCCCCCCCCACCGACTTAAGTTTGAACACCTGGACATCTTGTGAAATAGTCTTAACCTCAACAAAAGTATCAAATGTTCACATACACAAACACAGTAACTTGTGTGTCTAGCACATTGTAGGGCACTGAGACAGGCATGTAAATATATAACACATGTCAAAAATTCTTAAGGAACATCTATCTAATGCAGGAGGCTTATATTTAAAACAGCAGAAAGGACAGCCACATACGAAAGACATTAGACCCCTACTTCACAACATATATGCAAATTAAAAATAGAGCATAGGCTTATATGTAAGGTCTAAAACTATAAAATTCCTAGAAGAAAACATAGGACTAAACCTTTATGATCTTGGATTAGGCCACGGTTTTTTAGATAAGACATCTAGGCATAAGCAACAAAGGAAAAAATAAAGTTAAATTGGATTTTATCAAAATTTAAAATAGTTATATTTCAAAGAACAGCAACAAAAATGTGAAAAAGCAACTTATAGAATGGGAAGACTATTTGCAAATCATCTATGTTTTCAGTGACTTGTATCAAAAATAAATAAAGAGCTATTACAATTCAACAATAACATCAGACAGTTCAAAAAATATGAACAGACAGTTGTCCAAAGAAGACATACAAATGGCCACACAGAATATTCTCAACATCATTTATCAGCAGGGAAATGCAAATTAAGGTACAATGAGATAATACTTCACATCCTACTAGAAGGACTGTAATAAAAAAAAGATGGGCCGGGCGCGGTGGCTCACGCCTGTAATCCAAGCACTTTGGAGGCCAAGGCGGGCGGATCACCTGACGTTGGGAGTTCAAGACCAGCCTGACCAACATGGTGAAACCCCTTCTTAAAAAAAAAAAAAAAAAAAAAAAAAAGATGACAAAAACAAGTGTTGGCTAGAATGCGGAACAATTGCAACCCCTATACGTTGCTGGTGGGAAAGCAAACGATAAGTTGCTTTGAAAAACAGTTTGGCAGTGCCTCAACAAATTAAACACTGAGTTACCATATATATAGTTACTATATATAGTTATAGTATATATAGTTAGCATATACATAGTTACCATGGTCTGAATGTTTGTGTCCTCCCAAAATTCATGTGTTGAAATCTTAACTCCCAAGGTGATGATATTAAGAGATGGGGAAGGCCTGGCACAGTGGCTCATACCTATAATTTCAGCACTTCGGGAGGCCTAGGTGGGAGGATGGCTTGAGCCCAGGAGTTTGAGACTAGCCTGGGCAACATGGTGAGATCATGTCTCTGCAAAAATAAAAGTAAAAAATCACCTGGACATGAAAGTGGGCACCTGTAGTCCTAGCTACTCAGGAGGCTGAGGTGGGAGGATCGCTGGGGCTTAGGATTTTTTCTTTTTTCCTTTTTTTTTTTTAAGGCAGACTCTCACTCTGTCACCTGGACTGGAGTGCAGTGGCGCAATCTTGGCTTTCTGCAGCCTCCGCCTCCTGGGCTCAAGTGATTCTCTTACCTCAGCCTCCCAAGTAGCTGGGACTACAGGCACATGCCACCATGCCTGGCTAATTTTTGTATTTTTAGTAAAGACAAGGTTTCACCATGTTGCCCAGGCTAGTCTTGAACCCCTGACCTCAAGTGATCTGCCTGTCTCAGCCTCCCAAAGTGCTGGGATTGTAGGCGTGAGCCACAGCACCTGGCCGAATCCAGGAGTTTGAGGCTGCACTGAGCAGTGATCATGCCACTGAACTCCAGCCTGGGTGAGAGTGAGGCCCTAAAAACAGATTTAAAATTTTTTTTTGTTGTTTTTATTTGACTCTAAAAACAAACAAAATTTTTTTAAAAATTAAAAACAGAGGTTAGGCCTTTTGATTAGATCATTAATCTCTTTAACAAGGGGGTAGCACCCTTATAAAAGAGGCCTAAAGGTGCTCATTTGCCCCTTCCATTCCGTTAGGACACAGCTAGAAGGTGCCAGCTATGAACTAGAAAGCAGCCCTCACTAGACACAAATCTGTGGGACTCTTGATCTTGGATTTTCCAGCCTCCAGAAATGTGGGAAGAAGACTTCTATTGTTTATAAGCTACCCAGTTTGTGGTATTTGGTTGCAGCAGCACAAAACAGATTAAGACGCCACTTAATCCACCAGTTCTACTATTAGGTATACACACAAGAGAATTGAAAACATATGCCACATAAAAACTTGAACATACATGAATATTTATAATGTCTAAAACATGAAAACAACCCAAATGTCTTTCAAGTAGTGAATAAAGAAAATTCACTGTGTATATATATATATATATATATATATATATACAATGAAATATTGTTTGGCC